GCTGCAGCAGGCAGCGGAGGGACAGAGGGCCCGGCAGGGTCAGGCCCTCGGAGACGCAGGGAGAGGCCGGGAGACAAAGGTGGCCCAGAGAGAGTGCCCTTTCCCACTTGCTCTGAGTCAGCGCGTCTGCCCGAAACCAGATGTGGTTAGTCTCCCCCTTTGATGGTGACCTTTAACGCGCTGACTCCATGGACGCGCTGTCCTGCCCACGGCCTGGCACAGCCGGCCATGGCTCACCAGGCGCTAAGAAAAGGAGCGACGCAGAGCAGTGGACAGGCGGGGGGATGCGGGGGAGGGACAGTTATTCAGCACCAGCATGAAGCATGATTGAAGCTGGGGGAACAGGCTGAGCGGCTTTGCACAGAGCATCCTGCCCACGGGGGAACAGCTGCAGCCATCCCTAGAAGTCACCTTCCACTCCCTGTGGCCCTGTTTACTGTGTGTGTTACGGCCGTGCCTGGCAAGGTTCCCTCTCCTCTCCCCCATGCAGAATAAATTTTGTTCTGTGCACCGAGGCAGGTGAGGATGTGCACCACCAGTAGAAATGCAGGCTGTTGGTTGTGGGCACTCTGCTTCATCAGCCGGGCGGCACCGGAATCTCTCCTGGGTAGCCACCTAAGCGCTCAGCTTACAGGGAGCACTGGGGCCTGGAGGCCCCACCCCACTGTGCAAGGTGTTGCACAAAGAAAAGACACAGCCGGATGGAACCGTGTGCGGGAGAAGCCTGGGACACAGCTGGGTCCCCCCCAGTACGATCAGCTCTGAAGGGCAGACAGGACAGTCCCCACGGGGTGGGAAACCACATGGGCCAGCTTGTGTCTGCCTCCCCTACTCTGCCAGTGCTTTAACCGTCTCTCCTCTGGGCCTGTGTGACCGATCACACCCGTGCGGAATGGGAGCCGCGTTGTAAGGCTGGCAGGCCCTGAACGTGGCTTGGGCGACTCCGTCGGACCCAGGAGCTGGTGGGGGCCGAATTGCCTGGGGCAAAAAACCTGGTTCCTGGATCAGTGCTCCTTGGATTTGGTCCACCCGCATTGTCCCTTCCCTTTGCACCTGGTGCACCCTCAGCTCCGGGTTCTGCAGATGCTCCCCCAGCCACTAAAATCCTCGGGTAGCGAGCGTAGCTGGCTCCAAAACTCTGGTGTAAAAAGCCCCAGAAGAAAGCCCCAGCCGAGCCTGCAGTAAATCGCTGCCTATTCCTCTCCGCATCCTTTTTAAAGCGACCTAGGGGAAAAATAAAGATGCTAGAAATGCAAAGAATCCAGCCGTCAGGTTTTGCCTTATATTCTTCCCCGGTAACATTTCCACGCTAATGGGTAATTTACAACCCGCTTAACCCCTTCCGCACGACTGACGACAGCCTGCTCGGCTCGGGGCAACGGCCCGCTTTGAAAAAAGCCAGCCCTGGCGTGTGACTAGCGTGGGCAGCTCATTCCAGAGAGCGCCGGGGGCGGGCGAGGGAGGGATGGATCGGCTTGCTAATTTCAGGCAGGGAAAAAAGGTGGCCAAGGTGGAGTGGGCGAGCGGCGGGTTCTCTGGAGGTCCCTTGGAAGGCCAGGGAGGGTCCAGCCGGGAGGGGAGATGTGTCTCACCCGATGTCCCAAGCGCCGCTTTGGTGGAAGGGTAGATTTTGGCCACAGACCCAAAACCTCATTGGCTCAGGTGTGTTCACCCCTTCCGGGCCCCAGGGCTGCGAGTTCCCTGTTGTGCATGGGCCTCCCCTGGCCGAGGTATTCAGGTAACCATGTGCACCAAGGGAGCGGCCCCTGGAAGGAACCAAGGAGGACCCCACGTGCTGCTTGGCGATGGTGGTTGCGTCATCGGCTTAGAGGCGCCAGTCGGGAGCCGGGGCCGTTTGTGAGCAAGGCAAGAGGCAGCACCGGGAGTTATTGACAAGGGGAGGGAGGGCACGCGGGGGGGTGATGGTCGGGTGTAAATATTTGCCAACTGGAATAGGATTGCCAGGGAAGCTTTTCCCATAAAACGCCGGTGAATTTAGTGGTCGGCTATGACGTTGAGCTGACAACCCAGGCATGTTGCAGGCAGGTGCGATGCAGCTTTCCCCACACCCAGCTCTGCCAACACATTTCAGTCCTGACCCGCACACACACGTTCCCCCCAACTCCCCCCCTCCCCGGCTTTTCCCAGTCCTGGGCCCCACACAGCTCTGCCAGCCTTCCACACCCCCCGCCATGCCCTCCGGCACGCCAGCCCTTCCACGGCCCATCAGCCTGATCTCCAGCGCCCCTTCTTCTCCGGGGCAGGCGCCCTCGGGCCTGGCCTGGGTTTCTCCGGAGCCGGTTGAAAGCTGTGGGGAGGTTTTGGGGCTAGGCAGCGCATGAGGCTGAATGGAGCATTTTTGTCTTTTAACCACAGTGTCGGGCGGAGGGGGGGAGTCACGCCGCCC